ATGCAACTGTTCCCTAGTTTGATGTAAATTGTTAAATGAGTTAGTTGTACACTTGCTATGCCAAAACATCTACATGGTGTTAACTAGCTTCACCTCTATTTAATAATGTTGGTCACATTAAAAGCAGTTTTATAGCTGTCATATGCAAGTTACACACTGGTTATACCAAATAATAACATGTTATGCACTGGTTATTTGTTAATAATAATACCTAAATAGCCTGGCGTAACCATGAGGACACTTGTCTTCTATCCAGTACTTGACTGGCCTTTGCATGTGTTTGTGATGGGTGCCACCAGTGGCGCAGGATAGTCTCATTTCGAGAACACCTGGTATCATCACTATTTGATAGTTATTCATAAACACATTCTCATGACATAGTTGCAATCGTACCATTGAGATTTCTTATGAATATGGAAAGGGTTTTGTCTCGTTTATTGTCTTTTACCTCAAACATGGTAGAAAGTTGGCCAACATAAATGTTGTATGTCATATAATAATAATAATAATAATAATAATAATATATAAATAAAGAGACAAAAGCCTTTCCATATCCAATAGAAATCTCTGCATAAAGCAGAGTCAATGAAACGACTCCGACTATATCATGAGCATGTGTTTATGAATCACTATCAAATAGTATTGATACCATGTGTTCGCGAAAAGGTGAGCGTATCCTGCCCCATCGGTGGCACCCGTCACATGCAAAGGCAAGTCAATTGTTCACCTGAAAAAACACAGGAACATATGATACAAGTCAAAATAGGGAATTGCATCGGACATTATTTTTGGCACTGTTTGTTTTGTTTCATAAAACATGTCAAACATCAATGGAACTAACACTATTTCAACAAAAGGTCACTTGACAATTATACATCTCCTCTGCAGCTGTTTTCTTAAAAATTGTGTGGTATACACAAGAAAATATGGACTGTCCTGTAAATTTTCAGTCTGCACAGGAGGTGTCTTTTGGAGCAGGGCACTTAATTCGTCAAATATGGTAAATGTTCCTTTGTGACTTCAACAACTACAAGCATGGCTCTGACATCTTCCAACTTCTCTACTGGCACATACAACATACACCTTGCAGGCCTCTGGTCCAAGGCACCAAACACTGACCAAAATGAAAACATCTGGCAAAACTTCAGTGACTAGCTCCTCAACCATGAACAAGGCTATTTGTAAAATAACAGACAATTCGTATCCAACTGCAAAATCTGGTTATACTCTAAAATAGGACATGGCTCTGAGGGTGTAACACAACATTCATAGCAACTGATAACTCTTGCTTAATTCAATGTTTCTGTGGGGTGAAATCGAATCTATAATTGAAACTCGGATTCAATGATGCATGATGTTGAAATCGTCAAAAAAAGAAAGAAAAACCTTTAAAGTTTGAGCAAGTGAATATTCCATCATTAAAAATAGTTTAACATTGTTAATAATGGTTGGCAGATACTCTTAGCCAACATGTTAACATAAAGTTAGCAAAACAAAGGAATATAAATAATTCTCAGGGCTTATTGAGCTTGAGTTTCTGAGAGGAGAAAATCGTATTAAAAAATGTAACAATCTGACACAAAATACAAATAAAACATATTTCTACTCACCCCTAGTCATCTGCATTTTGGAAAGAGGAAACTGCTACTAGGGTAATAAACAAAGGAGATTTGAGCAAGTCCATTTTCAACGGTTTGGTGTCAAAATCACACAAAAACCTTTTCAATGTTCTCAGGAACATGTTCACATCATGTTCCTGAAGCACATGCACCTACAGCTATTAGGAAACAGTAGTGCATTTTGTGAAACAAATAAACAAGCAATTGTAATATGAATTCAAAAACTCCATGAAACGTTTTGTAGCCATGTTATACCAGTTGTATAATAACCACATCACCAAAACAAGTCAGTGGAAGTATTGTCTCACATATTTGCACTTAGCATACCCAATCACCAATACAACTTCAAACGTGTAAGTCTTGTATGCTTCAGGCCGCCTTGATTTGCAGGTGATGAAGGTGGAACAATATACAAGACCAGCTCCACAGTCCTGCTAGTGGGGGACCCATGGGCTTGAAGAATACAAGCAATGCATTTTGCTTCATCTTCTCCTATCTATTATGATAAATACCCTGGACCCATTTGCCACAAAACAATAAAAAACCTAAAAAGCTCTTAAAACTAAAAAAAACCTAAAACCACACCAACACTCCCTGAGATCCTCCCCATTTTTAGCATGGCATTTTTCAAAATTCGAAATTATTATCCAAATTTAATTAAGCAACCCCCCAAAAAAACCAACAGGTTGCCATACCTCTTCAGAGAACTCTTTTTCGACTAATCCACTAATGGCCTGGCTGGCCTGTGTGGGAAATACGCAATATTTCGGAAAGCGCACGTAAAACCCCTAACTCAGTCAGTCATTCGCCACAAAATTTTCCTTTCAGAAGTGATGTCCACATGTCCATCTTATCACGGTACGTGATGCTCTCACCCAATCTGAACTGTTGGCTGACTGCAGAAGCATGTCTGTCAAATATCGTTCAAAATGAAACTATTGAAGCCAACGAGTTCAGGGTATTGATAACAGAATGGGATAGAATACACTGGAAAATAGACAACGGCAAGCATGATGCAAATGGTAAAAATGTTCAGGTTTATGAATAAAGTTTTAAATCTATACATGTCATGTCGTAATCAGACTAAGCATGATAAAAATGTAACTTCAATCTGAATGATTACAACGTTTTTCATAATACTCTATAGAAAATTTAAAGATTTTTATTGTATCATGAACGCCAAAATGCAGGATGTAATAAAGGTAGGTTATTCGCAGGAATTTCCGGCTTCAAACCCAGACCTTCAGCATCACAAGTCAACTCCTTACCCACAAGGCTACCCCACTGCCACTAAACTGAATGAACTTATCAACAGAGAGTGCAGTCAACAGTGAACACAATCAAGTAACATGACATCATAAATAGGGTCAGATCACAGGATCAAGTTACACAATCTTCAAAATATGATCAAAACATATTGAGCAGCATATACAAATCTAAACATGAAACAATGACAACTGAGCAAATCCATGAGAATAGTGTCACTTAAAGATGTGTGATGGTAAGAATCAAAATGCTGCCTCATTTTGAAACAAGAACTTTGGACACAGCAATTTGAAGAAAAAAAACAAATTGGTCTGCAGAGTGTGGAATGACGGGAGAAACTGCAAATGAACACAATGAGAACATCTGTCAACATGTTTGCTGTCAAAATACAGCACATTTGCTCCATAACGAGTTTTACACGCATGTTCACCAAATATGGCAAAAATGTTGAATAAAATTAAACATTTGAGACTTCAAAAAAAATTCATTTAATTCATCCCTCAGCAAAACCTTAGAGTGTTAGCTCAAACAGAAACTGTTTTGAAATGTTATTCCATTTATATTTTGACCATGGATCTTGTGAATTCGGAGGATTAAATGTGTGAACAATGTAATGAAAATCTAAAAGGCTAAAACAGTGTAAGTTTGTTTGGAGGATATATTGTGGTAGATCAAAACTATCATCACACCATATGGAAAACTCATTTCAGAAAAGACAACAAATATAAATATACTGGCATAAATCTGGTTATCCACTCAATCCACTATGTTAAGAATCAAAACAGCATCCTGTAAATTAAACTTTTCACACGGAAAAGTACAACATTCCGTTTATAATGGATGTGTGGAGGTCAAGTTTGTGGACAACTGGAATATAGAAGGAACACTGATTAAAATGACAATAAAAAGAGTCTGACCTAACGTGTAACACAGCCAGCCAAGAACGCTTTACAGGGCAAAACACGGACCTGTTGCCCTGGTGATTATCACCTGAAGAAATAACAGGTATTAAGGCACTTAAAACACTTAGACATACATGTACAGAAGTACTAAGAACACAGTAAATACTTAACCAAAAAACTATATACTTGTTAATACTTTTCAATATTGCCAAAATTAATAAAAACATCTACTATTATTGTTTAGCTGACTTGCAAGTAATTTTTGTCAATTTGTTCCTGTTTTAGCCAGTCCCAAAATGATGAAATTCAAATTTTGAATACCTGGTACTTAATATTTGCAACATTACAATATTCCACAGAGACACGACAATCATAAATGTTACCTATAGAATTATTAATTAAATATTCAATTATTTCATTGATATAACTAATTCCCTCTCCATATGCTGCCACTTTCCAGAGTTACCACGGTCGAAACATAAATACTAACATAGTCAGTCATCTGACATTTCCATAACTCCTCACTCATGTCTTCTGGTCCATGGCCATGATCCATCTAATATTAAAATATAACCACTTAGTTTAGGAATAATTAACTGAATAAACATAAACATCAATCAAACAGACAGACACCCAAGGCTATATACAACACGGGTAGGTATGCAGCCAAATTCACACAAAACATGAACAAATAGAAGCACCAATAAAATCTTCAAAACTTTTGTTTTTCTTGAACTCAAACCTATCCATATAATTGCATGTACCGGTAAGTTAATTCTCTGAGGATAAATATGGGTAAAATAGAATTTCTTTGAAAAACATAAAATCAAGTTCCAAGCACCAACACAAGTCCGGCTTGAACAATGAACAATACAGGTGGCAAGGCAATAGGTCCTGCATAACATGATTAAGACTTGGCACAAATCTGCTCAAAATATAATCTTCAGATAGGAGGCTTGAGGATAAATATCATTTATGGATAAGTGAGCAAACAACATTCCAAGATTAGTGCTAATCCATACGTCCATGTTAACACATTTAAGAATACCTGCTGGTAGTGTGCAATCACTGAGCAACTGGAAGGGTCATGCATGGAGTGTTTGGGAGTGTTGTTGTGACATAATGTAACTCAATCTACCTCGAAAACAGGGCAGTATAGACACAAGTTATAACATTGGAGATATGGAATTATCATATAAAAACAAGAAGGGAATCAATTCCCAGTGTTCTCTATGTTGCATACTTCACCCTCCTGAACAAACGGGGGTGGGAACAGGGGTGGGAACAGGGGTGGGAACGGGGGTGGAAACGGGGGTGGGAACAGGGGTGGGAACAGGGGTGGGAACAGGGTGGGAACAGGGGTGGGAACAGGGGTGGGAACAGGGTGGAAACGGGGGTGGGAACAGGGTGGAAAAGGGGGTGGGAACAGGGGTGGGAACGGGGGTGGAAACGGGGGTGGGAACAGGGGTTTGGAACAGGGGTGGGAACAGGGGTGGGAACAGGGGTTTGGAACAGGGGTGGGAACAGGGGTGGGAACAGGGGTGGGAACGGGGGTGGGAACGGGGATGGGAACGGGGGTGGGAACAGGGGTTGGGAACAGGGGTGGGAACAGGGGTTTGGAACAGGGGTTTGGAACAGGGGTGGGAACAGGGGTGGGAATGGGGGTAGGAACTGGGGTGGGAACAGGGGTGGGAACAGGCACATGAAGTCTCAGCTTCACCGACTGTTTTATATTTTCTAATATGGCTGCTGTCAGCCATGTTTGACTTCTGATCAAGATGCCTCAAAGAAAACTCAGAACTACCCAGCTCCAAGTACACGGAGAAGATTTTTTCATTTTTCTTATTTTTTCAAAAGTCCATGATATCTACCTGGCAACTTTATTGAAATTCCATTTATGGTGCCATAGACAAAACGTGTACCCTCTTACTGTAACAAACATCCACACAGCTGAACCCACGAATCCATTTCAGAGAGAAATTGAAAATGTAAAACGTTTATGTATGCCTTCACCGATAGATGACTTTGACTTGCCACAACATCAGCTCCTACTGCCTTTCAGGCCTGGTGAGATGATAACGCTTCAGAAACATCTGTCTTCAAGGACGTCCATACACTTCAGACCAGCAGACATCATTAATGTAATGCTTTTGATATTTGGTCATTTTGTACCAGGTGTTCTTTCAATAAACAATTCTCTCACCTAACTTGTACACCGAAACACGGTCAAGTATACATAGAATATCGATCAGGAATACGACATACTTAATTTATCAAGATAAGAAACTGAGCGACACCTTGGACATGTGTGTACACCAGCATGTGTTAGGGATATCACCAGCTCAGTTTCTCTTATCAGGGCCCTCCATGTGGACTATGTGCTAGAAATGAACAGAGGTAGAGATAGCACAGGGCCTGTATACAGATATCGTTACTTCCCAGATCAGATTTCCATGATTCTGGTATAATAATATTTATTAATTTGTTACTGCAATCCTGAATGAAGGCAATCATTCTGCTATTGTGTGAAGACGTCCTGTATGCAAAGGAATATAATTACTGATATTGATGTTTGTAACTTTCATTACAACAGATGGAGACCCAAATCCACCTCTATTTTATTACAAAGATGACGCCACACATACACAACCATGAACCAGTATGCCAGAAAGGGTTTAATTCATTACAGGCAAGCTCTATGGAAAAAAAATCAGAATGAGTTGTGAAAACAAGCTGGTTATGTTGGGAACAGTGCGCACATGTGAATTTGAGAATTTGAAAAATCTGTTACATGTTAAATAAACATAGAAACAAGCCTTGAGGTCTTAAAAACAAAACTGTACATGTAAACTGAATTGCTACCTTATATCAGAAAATCTGACCTGTCAAGCATGGAGAGCATGGTCAGTGTACTGTACAAGGTTGTGCAATGTTACCCCTTCAAACTGCAAACTGTATTTAGATATCTGTATAAGTGCTGGACATGCAATACATAAAAAACAGCACTCACAATAACCAAATATGTTAAAAAAAAGCCTAAAACCCAAGTCAACACTAAATGTATCACCCACAGACTTATCAGGGATTCCAAATTTAATGCCCTTGACAGGAAATTTTGCTAAATTGCTAATTTGCTAAAACTTGTCAGTGAAAAACAAGTCCCCTCTACAAAACCGTCACTTTAGTTACTACTGCATAAGGTGAGTTTGGACATCTGTAAATCCAATTTGGGGATATTTACTAACAATTATTGATGTCTTGTGGTCGAATATCGACAAAGTCCCTGTCATCCCCACCCTTTCTGCTTCCTCAACAAAGATCACTCCATCACCCAAAGGAATTTTCTCTACTTTTCCCATGTGTCATATGAACTGATATGTCTGTCTATGTTGAGTTGAGGTTGATTTCTAAATGTGTTTTAATGTTCACTATTCCATGTATTCATGAAAGCCTGATTCATAAAACTATATCACATTGATGATGGTGCTATTCTTGGTCAGGATTACGTTACAACTTGGGGTGGATATCACCTCCATCATGCTCTGCTAACCAGTCTTCCCAACTGACTGACACTCTGATAAGATCCAACCTTGACCTAATGACTCAGAAATTGATAAACCTATGTACCATCCACAAAACGTGACCACTGACATATATTTTGGAAGACAAGTAAAGCTAGAATACAGAAAAGACTTCATTAAGCATGTTGAGTAAAAGTAAATGTAAATGTATCTAAACATGTTAAAAAGTCCAACATGTCCAGGAAATGACATATTCCAGTGGCCGATTGAGACAGACCACATTTCATGGTTGTGTCTTATGTCTGAATAAAAATGGAAATTTCATTAAAAATGAAAGATAAACAAACATCTTAAAATTCTTGAACACTCATTACAAAGGAGTAATGTCAAGCTGTTTCTTGAATCAACATCCTAAGATGGCTAAAATTAAACAACATGTTATGACGCTGATATATCAATCAACATTTTAAGAAAAATAAACAGTGAGAAAACAAAACAATTCACAGCTGCTACTGCTGCTGACAGGATATGAAAATCTGATGAACTTTTATCAGGCAAGCTCACTGTGGGGAAAGTGTATGTAAAAGAACATATATATTGCCTTAAAATGGCCATACCTAAGTTATCAGTATTCAACCTCACAAACTGAAGTTTCAAGCATCATACTTACATCCAGCCTGTGATGTAATACATTAGCGCAACGCCCAAGTTCAGTGAAATTCTGTTTGGTCAAGCGGGCTGATGAAACACAATCAAAAACTGGCATGGCCTGAAAATGATGACCCGACCGCCCCATGTACACAATGAACACGGATCTGAGGCTGCACAGGGAACGAACAGAACTTATTCAACTGAACTAGTGCCCAAACCTTACACATGTTACAGGCCTTCACCCTCCCAATACTCATATCACAATAATAAGAATCATGTTTATATATGTATTCCCTATACAGTAAGATTCCAAACATATTACCCCTTTCAATACTGTGTGAATAGTCAGATTTCATTAGCATGGCCTATTACATGGTTATATTTGTGAAAAAGCTCAACAAACTGTTTACTGTTAAACAGGAAAGTTGTAGTAAATCTAAGCCTTAATTTTAAGAGATTTAACATATTCTTCTCAATTTTTTAAGGCAATATCATGATGTTTCATTCTGTTACAAACATTGGACAAGATCATAAGGAAATGTGTAGATATGAAAACACATTGGTTCATTGGCAATGTCCACTTCCATACCAACATATCTACACAATCATTTACATTCAGTCACCACCTACAATAGGAACATCCCTGTCAGCAGATGAGCCGTGTACAAACAGCTCATCATGACTGGTGAACATCCCTGTCAACAGATGAGCTGTGTACAAACAGCTCATCATGACTGGTGAACATCCCTGTCAACAGATGAGCTGTGTACAAACAGCTCATCATGACTGGTGAACATCCCTGTCAACAGATGAGCCGTATACAAACAGCTCATCATGACTGGTGAACATCCCTCTTCCCTTACATTCATGCTGAGAATCCCCAAATGGGTTGACCACTGTTACTTAATAATGAAATACATACTCGTCACCAACTAACGGTGAAAGCACCCTGATTGGCAAATATAATCTAATGGCTCCTCTTCAGTTTAGTATTTTTTCCGTGAAAACCATTCTTGACTCCTTTTCTATGACCGTTGGTGACAGACTTGTCTTTCCCCTTCACCAGGCTGAAGTGAACGTAATTGTTGAGAACAATAGCACCATAGCAACCAAGGAACGCCCCAACCCAGTATACCAAGACGTGTTCCCATGCCGACGTGCCTTTGCATCCGAAGGACAAACCAGAGGCCATCGCTGGCTGCATGTACATCCCGGTCAGATGAAGTCCTGTGAAGAAATGTGTTGTGTCAGCATCATAACAATGTGACAACCGAAGTGACATCAGACCAAATCAATCTTAAATGTTGTTTGTTGTAAACGTAGCATTCAGCAATATTCAAGCTACATGATGGCAGCCTGCAAATCAAGTCTGGACCAGACAATCCAGCAACTGACCTGTGAAGATCCAGGTTAGAATAAGCCTTCAGCAACCCATGCTTGCCGTAAAAAGCGACTATGCCTGCCGTAAGAGGTGACAAGCGGGATTGGGTGGTCAGGCTCGCTGACTTGGTTGATGGATATCATCGTATCCCAGTTGCGTGGATCAATGCTCAGGATGTCAATCACTGGATTGTCTGGTCCAGACTCAATTATTTACAGACCGCTGTCATATATCTGGAATATTGCTGAGTGCAGCGTTAAACATCAAACAAACAAACAATCCAGTGATTGATATAATGAGCAACAACCTGATGACAAGGGACTGACCATTCAATATTCTGGAGAGGCATGGCATATATTAAAAAAAAACTGTCCTCAGGATTTACACAGAAAAGACGAAACAATTCACTGGACATGCGGGATGTCCTGCAAATATGATTTAAAAAAATAATTTTAGGACTCCTCCTTCCAAAGAAAATAATGTGCTTTGAAGCAGTGACCGAAACAATGTTCTGTGCCTTGCACAAATCCCAGCCTGTATTAAATGATGGATCACGAAGGACTTGTCAGCATCATGGAAGAACAGTTATTTTTTTAATTAAACCTCCTGGTTCACTCTGACACTGGTAAGATAAAAATTGTAAAATACATTGCAATTTTCTGCATCTACAGGTACAACGGGGCAATAAAAGCTAATTCTACCATGAATTTGGAAATTACTCCACTCTGATTGGTCAGTCTGATTCAAACTCCCTCTGAAACAGCCGATTCAATGGCAGCATCACGGTGGAGGCTAATATTCAATTGTCGGTAGGCATATTTAAATAATAATATCTTTTTTGTTTGTTTGTTTAATGCCTCACTCAGCAATATTCCAGCTATATGATGGCAGTCTGTACATAATTGAGTCTGGACCAGACAATCCAGTGATTAATATCATGAGCATCGATCCACGCAATTGGGATCGATGACATGCATTAACCAAGTCAGCGTGTCTGACTACCCGATCCCATTAGTCACCTTTTACGATAAGCATAGTCACCTTTTACGGCAAGCATGGGTTGCTGAAGACCTATTCTACCCCGGAATCTTCACGTTACAATGAGCGATATGACATCATAATAGTGACACCATTAAGGTGTAAACAAATTGCTTGAGTATATAGAGCATGATATTTTGTTAAATGGCTGTTGTCGGTAATTCCGTAATTCAGATCGACAACCCACGCAAAACACTGGACTCAACCCATGCCGCTTCACTTAATATATTTACTAACACCAAAGAGTTCGCGTTTTATTTAGTCCTGGTAGAATGGAGATAAATATATTTTGTTTCAATGTAGAGCTAGGTTACCTGTAGACTAAATCCGCACTAAATTTAACATTTGCTGGGCATTTGTTTCCAAATTCAATTTAGCACGGTCAAATCTACAGGTAACCTAGCTCTACACTGGAAACACAGTATGCATATCTCCCAATTAGTTAGTGAGGGGATGAACAAATATTAAGAAATATTTTAGCCTTACCAAGGCAAACCAAGATGGTGCCATTCAAGGTCTTCACTGCTTCATCCAGGAGTGAGAATCTGAAGAGTGGTTGATAGGAGAGCCAAGTATCATACAACACTCCCATCATTTCGATGAGGAAGCCCACAAATATGGAAACCTTGAGGTCCGTGTCACAGCCCACTGCTCTCATGCTCTTAACATGATCAGGGTGAAACTCAAGCGACCAGATCAAGTGAACAAGCCGGAATGACGCAAACCCTGCTGCCGTCTGGACAACGATTCTTACAAGAGTCTTAAACAGGGATAACTTTTTGGCAAGGAAGTCTTCAAACACAGACAGCGGTGATGGTGACCCTTCTTTGAACGTGTGCAACGTCAACATCACTAAGGGTACGGCAACTGCACAGTATCCGACATGTCCGGCAAAACTGCGAACAAGTCCATGGCCGTAGGGATAGGAGCAAATGACGAGGGTCTTGAAGAAGTCGAGGATGTAGATCTTGAGCGAGTTTGGGAAGAGTTGGTAGGAAATTGTGTAGAACGTGAAGCATGCGGTGTATGCGATGATGTAGAACAGGAGCGCTGCTATTAGAGGATGGAGGAAGTCAACTGATGGGTCATGCCCCACTGTGATCGCCCATAGCTGTCGCCAGTTCATTTTCTGGAGAGAGAAACAAAAAAATATCAAAAGCAGAAACATCAGCTAAACTAAACTTAGTGAGTGTGGAATAGGGTCACTTTCAATAGCACTTCAGTTTTATTGCAGTGTGTCAGTTTAAAATGAGAAAAAAAACCAGATATGGTGATGGCAAATGGAGAATCATTATCAGAGGCAATCTTGTTTTCGAACCCACGATTGGTGGATATGAACAAGACCATTGGACAGAACTCTGCACAACGAATTGTGGCACCTTACTGACCACCATGACACAGTAATCATGGTAACCTCGACCAAAAAATTAGCGTGTCACTTTAACCACATGCGTAAGTCATTTTAATTTCCTGCATCAAATTCCAACTTCCATGCATCAGATGAAGCAGACACTGTTACAGCCGACATTGCATTAAAGAGCCAGGTGCAATGTGTGCACAGTTGTCATTTTTGTTGGTATGCTTGGTAGGAAGAAAATAAACATTATTCCTACCTCAACACTTTTGTCATCATAAAAAAATAATTAAAAAGTCCTAACTTCCTAGATCCTCCTCACTTGAGAAAATGTGCCCTGATTATTTACATTCTCCTTCAGTTTTTATTATTTAAAGTCAGAGGTATTTTGAGATTGCATTCAATGTATTAATGCTTAACTAAGCGCTGGAGCCTCTCACTGTTTATTGGTCCAGTTGTCAGTGAAATACAAGTCACCTCTGATAAGTCTAAAGTCACTACAATAACAGGACTTGAGATAATTTAATTGAAATTTGTGAATTTTAACTTACATTTGCTGCCAAATATCAGCCTCTGAGCAGGTCTCGATATATCCCTACTAAGGGTATGTGTGGGACAGTGTTTGAAATCATTTTTAAACCCAACATGACGGGAGGGCAGGTGACCTATAAAGTGCTGCCTGCATTCAGACATTATAAATATTGAAAAATCGCCATATTGATTCAGTTGAAATAATGCAAATATCTATTTGAGAATAACAAGTTCAACAACAAATCCCCTGGCCCCCAACAACAGCAAAAGGCACAACTTCAGCCCCTGGTCAATACATGTACCAAGTTTGGTGAAAAATCTTTCACGGTATCCAAGTTATGCTCTGGAAACAAAATACGAACAGACAGACAGACCAGATGATGACTATAATCATGATAATAAATATGGAGGAAACTGAATACGTAAGTAGCCTTAAAGTTATCTGCCAGACAGTCAGACAGGTGGAGGAAAAGTTCATTCAACCCAACAGAAACGTTACCAGCCACAGGCAGGCGGGCAGGCAGGCAGTTATTTCAGACAATGGTGTAGAGCAATTTGAACAACATTTGTGCTTTTTTCAAGAGCTATTTATAAATAACAATGTTGATCCGACCCCTCAAAAGGTATTCTGCCACCATGTTAAAAGAGTATTACAGGCACAACGCACTGAAACAGACACGATGAAATTATCACAGCACATCCTCGATTATCCAGTGTATCCCGTCTCCAATCTTTTATGGTAAATAAATACCCTGGACCCATTTGACACAAAAGCTTTGTTTTGAGTCCAGGTCGAAAGACACAACACTAAAAAATAGTCATCCAATTGAATAGCAGGATATTGGTAACAGGTACTCTGCAGTAATAATATCACATGTACTTGTCTTGTTATTATGTACCGTTTCAAATACACCCTTGAACACCTGGTAGCAAAAGGACTACCGCCTGTCTTCGACTCGTGAAGATCTGGGGCAGAATAGGTCTCACAGCAACCCATGCTTGCCATAAAAGGCGACCTTGCTTGTCGTAAGAGGCGAACAGGATCGGGTGGTCAGCCTCGCTGACTTGGTTGATGTATGTCATCGTATCCCAAATAATCATTATGTCAAGCACTGGATTGTCTGGTCCAGACTCGATTATTTACAGACCGTCATATAGCTGGAATATTTCTGAGTGTGGCGTTAAAAACCAAACAAACAAAACTCGCACTCAAGAAAACATCTGTTTCAGATATATATATGGCTTGCTTGAACGAGGCCTCTTAGATGCTGAATATGGTTCCAGGCAAAACTCTTGTTTAGAAGAGTCATTCTGAGTTGTTGTTGAGTGTAAACTGCTAGGTAAGCTACAGAGAGAAGTTTTGGGGCATAGATCCAGGGTATGTACAGTCAGATCCAGGGTATGTACAGTCAGATCCAGGATATGTACGGTCAGATCGAGGGTATGTACAGTCAGATCCAGGGTATGTACGGTCAGATCCAGGGTATGTACAGTCAGATCCAGGGTATGTACAGTAAGATCAAGGGTATGTACAGTCAGATCAAGGGTATGTACAGTCAGATCCAGGGTATGTAGTCAGATCCAGTATATGCACAGTCAGATCCAAGGTATGTAGTCAGATCCAGTGTATGTACAGTCGGATCCAAGGTATGTACAGTCAGATCCAGGGTATGTACAGTCAGATCCAGGGTATGTAGTCAGATCCAGTATATGCACAGTCAGATCCAAGGTATGTAGTCAGATCCAGGGTATGTACAGTCAGATCCAGGGTATGTACAGTCAGATCCAGGATATGTACAGTCAGATCCAAGGTATGTAGTCAGATCCAGGGTATGTACAGTCAGACTCAGGATATGTAGTCAGATCCAGGGTATGTACAGTCAGATCCAGGGTATGTAGTCAGATCCAGGGTATGTAGTCAGATCCAGGGTATGTACAGTCAGAACCAGGGTATGTACAGTCAGATCCAGGGTATGTAGTCAGATCCAGGGTATGTACAGTCAGATCCAGGGTATGTAGTCAGATCCAGGGTATGTACAGTCAGATCCAGGATATGTACAGTCAGATCCAGGATATTTACAGTCAGATCCAGGGTATGTAGTCAGATCCAGGTTATGTGCAGTCAGATCCAGGGTATGTAGTCAGATCCAGGGTATGTACAGTCAGATCCAGGGTATGTACAGTCAGATCCAGGGTATGTAGTCAGATCCAGGGTATGTACAGTCAGATCCAGGATATGTACAGTCAGATCCAGGATATTTACAGTCAGATCCAGGGTATGTAGTCAGATCCAGGGTATGTACAGTCAGATCCAGGGTATGTAGTCAGATCCAGGGTATGTACAGTCAGATCCAGGATATGTACAGTCAGATCCAGGGTATGTACAGTCAGATCCAGGGTATGTAGTCAGATCCAGTATATGTACAGTCAGATCCAGGGTATGTAGAGTCAGATCCAGGGTATGTACAGTTAGATCCAGGGTATGTAGTCAGATCCAGTGTATGTACAGTCAGATCCAGGGTATGTACAGTCAGATCCAGGATATGTACAGTCAGATCCAAGGTATGTAGTCAGATCCAGGGTATGTACAGTCAGATCCAGGGTATGTAGTCAGATCCAGGTTATGTACAATCAGATCCAGGATATGTACAGTCAGATCCAGGGTATGTAGTCAGATCCAGGGTATGTACAGTCAGATCCAGGGTATGTAGTCAGATCCAGGGTATGTACAGTCAGATCCAGGGTATGTACAGTCAGATCCAGGGTATGTGGTCAGATCCAGGGTATGTACAGTCAGATCCAGGGTATGTAGTCAGATCCAGGGTATGTACAGTCAGATCCAGGGTATGTAGTCAGATCAAGGGTATGTACAGTCAGATCCAGGGTATGTACAGTCAGATCCAGGGTATGTACAGTCAGATCCAGGGTATGTAGTCAGATCCAGGGTATGTACAGTCAGATCCAGGATATATACAGTCAGATCCAAGATATGTACAGTCAGATCCAGGGTATGTAGTCAGATCCAGGGTATGTACAGTCAGATCCAGGGTATGTTGTCAGATCCAGGGTATGTACAGTCAGATCCAGGATATGTAAAGTCAGATCCAGGCTATGTACAGTCAGATCCAGGGTAGGTACAGTCAGATCCAGGGTATGTACAGTCAGATCCAGGGTATGTAGTCAGATCCAGTGTATGCACAGTCAGATCCAAGGTATGTAGTCAGATCCAGTGTTTGTACAGTCGGATCCAAGGTATGTACAGTCAGATCCAGGGTATGTACAGTCAGATCCAGGGTATGTAGTCAGATCCAGTATATGCACAGTCAGATCCAGGGTATGTAGTCAGATCCAGGGTATGTACAGTCAGATCCAGGGTATGTGCAGTCAGATCCAGGGTATGTAGTCAGATCCAGGGTATGTACAGTCAGATCCAGGGTATGTACAGTCAGATCCAGGGTATGTAGTCAGATCCAGGGTATGTACATTCAGATCCAGGATATGTACAGTCAGATCCAGGATATGTACAGTCAGATCCAGGGTATGTAGTCAGATCCAGGGTATGTACAGTCAGATCCAGGGTATGTAGTCAGATCCAGGGTATGTACAGTCAGATCCAGGATATGTACAGTCAGATCCAGGGTATGTACAGTCAGATCCAGGGTATGTAGTCAGATCCAGTATATGTACAGTCAGATCCAGGGTATGTAGAGTCAGATCCAGGGTATGTACAGTCAGATCCAGGGTATGTAGTCAGATCCAGTGTATGTACAGTCAGATCCAGGGTATGTACAGTCAGATCCAGGATATGTACAGTCAGATCCAAGGTATGTAGTCAGATCCAGGGTATGTACAGTCAGATCCAGGATATGTAGTCATATCCAGGGTATGTACAGTCAGATCCAGGGTATGTACAGTCAGATCCAGGGTATGTAGTCAGATCCAGGGTATGTACAGTCAGATCCAGGGTATGTAGTCAGATCCAGGGTATGTAGTCAGATCCAGGGTATGTACAGTCAGATCCAGGGTATGTACAGTCAGATCCAGGATATGTAGTCAGATCCAGGGTATGTACAGTCAGATCCAGGGTATGTACAGTCAGACTCAGGATATGTACAGTCAGACTCAGGATATGTACAGTCAGATCCAGGGTATGTACAGTCAGATCCAGGGTATGTAGTCAGATCCAGGGTATGTACAGTCAGATCCAGGGTATGTTCAGTCAGATCCAGGGTATGTACAGTCAG